CTTGTAGGGTGAGCCATCTTGTAGGGTGAGCCATCTTGTAGGATGAGCCATCTTGTAGGGTGAGCCATCTTGTAGGGTGAGCCACCTTGTAGGGTGAGCCACCTTGTAGGGTGAGCCACCTTGTAGGGTGAGCCATCTTGTAGGGTGAGCCACCTTGTAGGGTGAGCCATCTTGTAGGGTGAGCCACCTTGTAGGGTGAGCCACCTTGTAGGGTGAGCCACCTTGTAGGGTGAGCCACCTTGTAGGGTGAGCCACCTTGTAGGATGAGCCACCTTGTAGGGTGAGCCACCTTGAAGGGTGAGCCACCTTGTAGGGTGAGCCATCTTGTAGGGTGAGCCACTTTGTAGGGTGAGCCACCTTGTAGGGTGAGCCACCTTGTAGGGTGAGCCACCTTGTAGGGTGAGCCACCTTGTAGGGTGAGCCACCTTGTAGGGTGAGCCACCTTGTAGGGTGAGCCACCTTGTAGGGTGAGCCACCTTGTAGGGTGAGCCACTTTGTAGGGTGAGCCACCTTGTAGGGTGAGCCACCTTGTAGGGTGAGCCACCTTGTAGGGTGAGCCACCTTGTAGGGTGAGCCACCTTGTTGGGTGAGCCACCTTGTAGGGTGAGTCATCTTGTAGGGTGAGCCACCTTGTAGGGTGAGCCACCTTGTAGGGTGAGCCACCTTGTAGGGTGAGCCACCTTGTAGGGTGAGCCATCTTGTAGGATGAGCCACCTTGTAGGGTGAGCCATCTAGGACATCGACACAGCGCTGAGCGTCGACAAATAATTGAATATGGTGTGAGAGTCTGCATGGTGGGGGGTGGTGACCCCGCCACCCCCCCCCCTTCCCATTATGGCTCCCCCCTCCCCCCCTCCTCTTGCCATTATGGCACGCTCTCAGCCCGTGTTAACCCCTCTCATACCTTCTCCCCCCGCCCCCCGCCTTCCCGCATTCTCTTACCCCCCCTCCCAATCTCTTACCCCCCTCCCCTAGTCTCTTTCCCCCCCCCCCTCCCCCTAATCTCTTACCCCCCCTCCCACTTTCTTACCCCCCCTCCCCACTCTCTTACCCCCCCTCCCCACTCTCTTACCCCCCCCCCCTCCCCACACTCTTACCCCCCTCCCCACTCTTACCCCCCCTCCCACTCTCTTACCCCCTCCCCCGTCCCTATAAATTCTCCTCCCATGCCAGTGTTGTCTCCCACCACCCACCTGCCCGCCCTGGGTGACAGACTCGGCCGGGCTGCCCAAATATACTCCGGAGGACAAAGCCAAGCCAGGCTAAACCTGTGTAGATATTTCCTCCTCATTTCCATATATACTTCTGGCTTATATTTAGCGAGCCGTTTTTACCCTGTGCTCTCCACAGATGTATTTTTAGAGACGACTGCTCCGTCGGGTATACCCGGGAGAGGTATACTCGGGCGGGTATGTCGTATACCACTGAGGGATACGTGCCAGGGCCAAGGCGGTTATGTCTGCTAACTCATTCATTAAACCTTAATCTATTTATTTGTAGACTCGCCTCAAAAGGCAGCCACTGTACGCCATTAAGTTGCTTCACACACTGGTAACTCAGTGCCAGGTTATCTCACTCTCATATACAACGCTTCATGCAGGTCGGCGTTCAATCCCCGACCGTCCACAAGGGGTTGGGCACCATTCCTTTCCCCCGTCCCATCCTATACCCTCATCCTGACCCCTTCCCAGTGCTATATAGTCGTAATGGCTTGGCCCTTTCCTCTGACAATGCTCATCTTCGCTGTGTGCTCGTTCCCAGGCACTCGTTACAGCGCTGTAGTTTGTTGTTCTAATCACTTTTGAGACAATGTGTGATTGATTATCCAATATATAATGAACGTCAGTTAGTGGTGCTGTAAGAGAGGAGGAGCCGTGGGGACGCTTCGAACTGCTGTTTGTGACTGCGAGCGTGGAGCAGTTAACGTCGCTCCTGATGACTTAACACCTTGGAGGTTAGAGGTGGTGAAGGGTAGGGAAGGTGGTGAAGGGTAGGGAAGGTGGTGAAGGGTAGGGAAGGTGGTGAAGGGTAGGGAAGGTGGTGAAGGGCAGGGAAGGTGGTGAAGAGTAGGGAAGGTGGTGAAGGGTAGGGAAGGTGGTGAAGGGTAGGGAAGGTGGTGAAGGGTAGGGAAGGTGGTGAAGGGTAGGGAAGGTGGTGAAGGGCAGGGAAGGTGGTGAAGGGTAGGGAAGGTGGTGAAGGGTAGGGAAGGTGGTGAAGGGTAGGGAAGGTGGTGAAGGGTAGGGAAGGTGGTGAAGGGTAGGGAAGGTGGTGAAGGGTAGGGAAGGTGGTGAAGGGCAGGGAAGGTGGTGAAGGGTAGGGAAGGTGGTGAAGGGTAGGGAAGGTGGTGAAGGGCAGGGAAGGTGGTGAAGGGTAGGGAAGGTGGTGAAGGGTAGGGAAGGTGGTGAAGGGTAGGGAAGGTGGTGAAGGGTAGGGAAGGTGGTGAAGGGTAGGGAAGGTGGTGAAGGGTAGGGAAGGTGGTGAAGGGTAGGGAAGGTGGTGAAGGGTAGGGAAGGTGGTGAAGGGTAGGGAAGGTGGAGAAGGGCAGGGAAGGTGGTGAAGGGTAGGGAAGGTGGTGAAGGGTAGGGAAGGTGGTGAAGGGCAGGGAAGGTGGTGAAGGGCAGGGAAGGTGGTGAAGGGTAGGGAAGGTGGAGAAGGGTAGGGTAGGTGGTGAAGGGTAGGGAAGGTGGAGAAGGGTAGGGAAGGTGGTGAAGGGTAGGGAAGGTGGTGAAGGGTAGGGAAGGTGGTGAAGGGTAGGGAAGGTGGTGAAGGGTAGGGAAGGTGGTGAAGGGTAGGGAAGGTGGTGAAGGGTAGGGAAGGTGGTGAAGGGTAGGGAAGGTGGTGAAGGGTAGGGAAGGTGGTGAAGGGTAGGGAAGGTGGTGAAGGGCAGGGAAGGTGGTGAAGGGAAGGGAAGGTGGAGAAGGGCAGGGAAGGTGGTGAAGGGTAGGGAAGGTGGTGAAGAGTAGGGAAGGTGGTGAAGGGCAGGGAAGGTGGTGAAGAGTAGGGAAGGTGGTGAAGGGTAGGGAAGGTGGTGAAGGGTAGGGAAGGTGGTGAAGGGTAGGGAAGGTGGTGAAGGGTAGGGAAGGTGGTGAAGGGCAGGGAAGGTGGTGAAGGGTAGGGAAGGTGGTGAAGGGTAGGGAAGGTGGTGAAGGGCAGGGAAGGTGGTGAAGGGCAGGGAAGGTGGTGAAGGGCAGGGAAGGTGGTGAAGGGTAGGGAAGGTGGTGAAGGGCAGGGAAGGTGGTGAAGGGCAGGGAAGGTGGTGAAGGGCAGGGAAGGTGGTGAAGGGCAGGGAAGGTGGTGAAGGGTAGGGAAGGTGGTGAAGGGCAGGGAAGGTGGTGAAGGGCAGGGAAGGTGGTGAAGGGTAGGGAAGGTGGTGAAGGGTAGGGAAGGTGGAGAAGGGTAGTGAAGGTGGTGAAGGGTAGGGAAGGAGGTGAAGGGTAGGGAAGGTGGTGAAGGGTAGTGAAGGTGGTGAAGGGCAGGGAAGGTGGTGAAGGGTAGGGAAGGTGGTGAAGAGTAGTGAAGGTGGTGAAGGGTAGGGAAGGTGGTGAAGGGTAGGGAAGGTGGTGAAGGGTAGTGAAGGTGGTGAAGGGTAGGGAAGGTGGTGAAGGGTAGGGAAGGTGGTGAAGGGTAGGGAAGGTGGTGAAGGGCAGGGAAGGTGGTGAAGGGTGGGGAAGGTGGTGAAGGGTAGGGAAGGTGGTGAAGGGTAGGGAAGGTGGTGAAGGGTAGGGAAGGTGGTGAAGGGTAGGGAAGGTGGTGAAGGGTAGGGAAGGTGGTGAAGGGTAGGGAAGGTGGAGAAGGGCAGGGAAGGTGGTGAAGGGTAGGGAAGGTGGAGAAGTGTAGAGAAGGTGGTGAAGGGTAGGGAAGGTGGTGAAGGGAGGAGAAGGGTAGTGAAGGTGGAGAAGGGTAGGGAAGGTGGTGAAGGGCAGGGAAGGTGGTGAAGGGCAGGGAAGGTGGTGAAGGGCGGGGAAGGTGGTGAAGGGCAGGGAAGGTGGTGAAGGGTAGGGTAGGTGGTGAAGGGTAGGGAAGGTGGTGAAGGGTAGGGAAGGTGGTGAAGGGTAGGGAAGGTGGTGAAGGGTAGGGAAGGTGGAGAAGGGCAGGGAAGGTGGTGAAGGGCGGGGAAGGTGGTGAAGGGTAGGGAAGATCCTCAAGGGGCAGAGTAAGTTCACCGAGATTTGGTTGCCTAGTGAGAAAAGTTGCCATGGTTGTCTAGTGAGAAAAGTTGCCACGGTTGACAGCCGCCTATGATAGTCCCCTAACACCTGTTTGTCACCCTGCAAAGTTAATAAGGCTGGCCCCATGCATCTATAGCCTCCATCTTTAGTCAGACATTTTGTTAACAGATACAGGCACAGTAGGTAACTCAGTTTACTTTTATATAATTGGTAAGGTAAGCCAAGGTAGCGTCTTGCTTGTCTGTGCATCTTGTATCTTCTTGAGAAGAGATACATTTTATCTTCTTGTAAGACACAGTGTAAGCTGTATGTCTTCCTCCTCAAGATTTATCTCTAGTTCTTAAGAATGATATATTTTCCTTACCTCTTGCTTTCACATTTTCTTATTTTTTTTTAGCTGAAACCAATTTAAAATGTGTGGCCATGTTAAAATGTGTGGCCATGTTAAAATGTGTGGCCATGTTAAAATGTGTGGCCATGTTAAAATGTGTGGCCATGTTAAAATGTGTGGCCATTGTAAAATGTGTGACATGTTAAAATGTGTGACCATGTTAAAATGTGTGACATGTTAAAATGTGTGGCCATGTTAAAATGTGTGGCCATGTTAAAATGTGTGGCCATGTTAAATTGTGTGGCCATGTTAAAATGTGTGGCCATGTTAAAATGTGTGGCCATGTTAAAATGTGTGGCCATTGTAAAATGTGTGACATGTTAAAATGTGTGACCATGTTAAAATGTGTGGCCATGTTAAATTGTGTGGCCATGTTAAAATGTGTGGCCATGTTAAAATGTTAATAAATATTAACCTGGTTCCGTTTTCTGTGGTTGCAGGGAAGAAGGGCGCGGCGACCCCTACAGAAGGGGTGGTGGGGACAGTCTTCCGGCCCATCAACGGCACCCCTGCCCCGTCGCTGCAGCCGGCCGCCCCTGCCGTGGCCGCCCCTGCCACGCCCACGCCCATCACAGCCGCCCCACACCCGCCCGCACCCAACCAGTCCGTGGGTGGTGGCGGAGGAGGCTCCATAACGTCATCCCATAGCGTGATATTCCCGCAGAAGGACTCGTCGGGTAGCGGACGGAGCCGCAGCAAGGAGTCCTCAGGCAGCAAGAAGGACTCCCGCGACCCCGGCAAGGACCCCTTCAACTTCATCAACATCAAGAGGGACTCGAGCACGCCCGACATCAGTCTCCACGCCCGGGACTCCATCCAGTCACGCCCACCCAAGTCCAACTCCATCAACCCTCTAGTTATGCCACGCGACAAGCCCGTCGACAAGCCCTTTGAAGGCGAGTACCCGCTCTTATTTGGTCCACTCTGACATGTTTCCCCTCTCAATTTGACACGTTTCCCTTCTCATTTTGACACGTTTCCCCTCTCATTTTGACATGTTTCCCCTCTCAATTTGACACGTTTCCCTTCTCATTTTGACACGTTTCCCCTCTCATTTTGACAACATTCCCATTTTCACATGTTTTTGTCGTAGCCTCTTAACACAGGCTACGACAGCCGTGTCACCTCTTGACACAGACTACGACAGCCGTGTCACCTCTTAACACAGGCTACGACAGCCGTGTCACCTCTTGACACAGGCTACGACAGCCGTGTCACCTCTTAACACAGGCTACGACAGCCGTGTCACCTCTTGACACAGGCTACGACAGCCGTGTCGACACCTCTTGACACCGGCTACGACAGCCGTGTCACCTCTTGTCACAGGCTACGACAGCCGTGTCACCTCTTAACACAGGCTACGACAGCCGTGTCGACACCTCTTGACACAGGCTACGACAGCCGTGTCACCTCTTGACACAGGCTACGACAGCCGTGTCACCTCTTAACACAAGCTACGACAGCCGTGTCGACACCTCTTGACACAGGCTACGACAGCCGTGTCACCTCTTAACACAGGCTACGACAGCCGTGTCGACACCTCTTGACACAGGCTACGACAGCCGTGTCACCTCTTAACACAGGCTACGACAGCCGTGTCACCTCTTGACACAGGCTACGACAGCCGTGTCACCTCTTAACACAGGCTACGACAGCCGTGTCGACACCTCTGACACAAACCGTGAGGGCCGCCACAGTGGTCCCCCAGAGACCAACCACACCGGATATATTACTGTTCCTTCACGAAGTCAAAATAAGACACTGTGTTGAGTGCGGTGTTTACAAAGATGGCGCTGGTGGCACCCGGCGCTGAGCTGGGTACAAAAAGTGTAATTCTGGGGGAAATGGGGAAATGGAAGGGGAGGAGATAGTGTGTTGAGGGGAGGACCGGGTTGTGGTCCCCCCGGTAGTGATACCAGGCCAAGGGGGAAGAGTGGGGGATGGACAAGGGGAAAACACATCTTCTGGGGGATATTGAGTTATAAAAGAAAATGGAACTTGCTGGGATGGCCCGTTGGTAACAAGATGGACTGGTCACCCTCTCTTGTACCCCCCCTCCTCTCTCTCTCTCTCTCTCTCTCTCTCTCTCTCTCTCTCTCTCTCTCTCTCTCTCTCTCTCTCTCTCTCTCTCTCTCTCTCTCTCTCTCTCTCTCTCTCTGTCTCTTCCCCCTCCCTATCTTTCATCCCCCCTCCCTATCTCTCCCCCTCTCTATCTACTTTTCCCCCTCCTTATCTCTCTTCCCCCCCCCCATCTCTTTCCCTTTCCTATCTCCCTTCCCACCCTCCCTATCTCTCCCCACCCTCCCTATCTCTCTTCCCACCCTTCCTATCTCTCTTCCCACCCTTCCTATCTCTCTTCCCACCCTTCCTATCTCTCTTCCCACCCTTCCTATCTCTCTTCCCCCCTCCCTATCTCTCTTCCCTCCTTCCTTATCTTTCCCCCTCCCTCTCTCTTCCCCCTTCCCCTCAACCTCTCTCTCCCATAGTTCTCCTTTTCCTATCACCTTTATTCTCTTGTCCTCCTCCATTCCCATCCTTCTACGTGCATCCTTGCTTCGTTCACCCCCCCCTTTACCCTGTCTCTCACCTCTCTCACCTGAGAATAAATTATCCTCGTCTAATGATGATGCTCCTTCATCTCTTCCCTCTTAACGAGGCAGAGATCCAGCCTCCAGCCAAGTGTTACGTAATGGAAATAGTGAAAACGAAATGGAAAATGAAGTAATGTGTGAAGGTATGAGGTGAGGGAGGTAGAGAGGGAGGAGTAAGGGAAGGAGTAAGGGAAGGAGTAAGGGAAGGAGTTTGAGAGTAGCGAGCAGTGGTTAGGTGAGGTTACCTTACCTTGAGGTTACCTTACCTACCTTGAGGTTACCTTGAGGTGCTTCCGGGGCTTAGTGTCCCCGCGGCCCGGTCGTCGACCAGGCCTCCTGGTTGCTGGACTGATCAACCAGGCTGTTGGACGCGGCTGCTCGCAGCCTGACGTATGAGTCACAGCCTGGTTGATCAGGTATCCTTTGGAGGTGTTTATCCAGTACTCTCTTGAACACTGTGAGGGGTCGGCCAGTTATGCCCCTTATGTGTAGTGGAAGGGAAATTTTGACAAGAAACGGAGGGAAAGACTGAGAACACGGAGAGGAGTAGAAGGTAGAAGAGTAGAAGGTAGAAAAAGGCTGCCACCATCCGGTCTAGTTCAGTACATCCAAGACGAGGAATGAAACTTGTCTGTACTCTAAGTTGGTATCACTTTAGCCTGTATCAACTGTATCTGCTGTAGGCATGTACTCATACTCTGTAAGCCAGTAAGCTCAGAGTGCTCCTCCACACTCTAGCTTGCAATATATCAGAAAATCCAAGATCTAGGGAACGCAATTAAAGTCAGGTTAAAAAAGTAAGTTAATCAAGTGTATTTAACATGATAGGTATCATAATTGAAGAAATTTGACTTAGTGTTCACTATGTCAAGATCAATATACTATGTGTATCGCCACACAAGACATTGAGACCACTACGGCTGTCTGCCCCTGAAATCACACAACACCTTCCGTTGGAAAACAGGAAATAAGTCACCTTAACATCTTAACACCTGGTGAGCCGGTCGGCCGAGCGGACAGCACGCTGGACTTGTGATCCTGTGGTCCTGGGTTCGATCCCAGGCGCCGGCGAGAAACAATGGGCAGAGTTTCTTTCACCCTATGCCCCTGTTACCTAGCAGTAAATAGGTACCTGGGTGTTAGTCAGCTGTCACGGGCTGCTTCCTGGGGGTGGAGGCCTGGTCGAGGACCGGGCCGCGGGGACACTAAAAAGCCCCGAAATCATCTCAAGATAATCTCAAGATGGTCAGACAACCTGGCGCCTCTCAAAATCCTGTCTGGCTGACTCATGTTCTATGTAAAATATTAAATAAAACACAACTAAACACCTTAATGGTGTTTAGTTAAGTCTCCATGTAACCATTCCGTCAAAACTCCGACCTTTTAGTCTAACCAGGAACTGTAACGAGCCCAAACAACCCCACCTGAGGCCTGGTCGACGACCGGGCCGCGGGGACGCTAAGCTTCGGAAGCACCTCAAGGTAACCTCAAGGTAATCAAGGTAACCTAACTTATCGAGTCCGATGGAGAGAAAATGTAACTTTTGTTTAGCCATTTCTTAATAGGTTGCCTTTGTAACGTTAGTTACAAGAAGGCGAGGTGTTAGTTGAGAGGATAGGTGGGTAGGTGACGACCGCTCCCCATGCAGGGTGGTTGTGGTGAGGGGGGTTGTAATTGGGGTTGTGGGGGCAGGGGGGGGGGGTCAGAAGCCCTTTATGTAGACCTTGGGTCATTAGAATCGGCAGAAATATTTCAGGCGCTGATAAGGGGTTCCCCTTGGTCCAAAAACATTGTTATTTTCTCGATTTCCAAGTGTGTGGGTTGGGTGCTTATCAGGTGTGTGTGTGGGGGGGGTTGGTGCTTGTCAGGTGTGTGTGTGGGTTGGGTGTATAATTTTCAACCACGTGAGAACGGGCATCCGGGAGTCGAACCAGGACCTTGAGAACGTCAAGGAGACCGTAGAGTACAGTACAGTGGTTGTCTCAACGGGTCGTGGACGCCATTTTGTATAGTGTGGATATATGTGGATACATATGGATTCATGTGGATGTATTGATGATTGGAGTCAGTTAAGAGGTGTTTATGTAAGGATTTGAGGGACGGAGGGGTTGGGAATACCTTCAAAGTGTCTGTCTGTCTGTCTGTCTGTCTGTCTGTCTGTCTGTCTGTCCAAGGGGTTGAGGACAGACGCTCGTTAATTGATTGTTGCCGCCGGGGGCGGCTAGTTTATTGTGCACCCCATACTCATCCTGTGAGCGATAGCGCAAAAAGCATTACAGAGGGCACAAAAGGTCTTTATCAGACCTCATCTTAGATTATTACATAAACAATTTCATCTATCCTTCACACCTTATAGTTACAATGTCAGCTGGTTACAGAGAAAGTGCTATTTCAAGAGCTATATATTTACAGTAAGTCATTATACATTAATGGTAGGTCTTATCGCTAATACATAATAGTTTGACCAATGGGGATATTACAGAGTCATAGGGGAGCTTCTGTTTATTATTAGTCTTCACAATACACTACTTGTTTCTGAATCTCATATGTCGTTCATCTACTGGAAGCGAAATGTGGATACAGTGCAAGGATTTCAGGTAATTTATCCATGGTAATAAGATAGGTTGCCATATCATACAGAGTGAGCTTAGATTTATCTCTAAATGGCTCAATTTTACTACAATCCAAGATATAGTGTTCGAGTGTGTGTCCCTGTCTTTGTCCACACACTTTACACTTTACTTCATCTATATGTAAACAAGCTATAGTTACAAGCTCAACTGCCAGAGATACTTGTAGCCAAGTCTTATACGAGCTGTGACAACATCTGTTAGTCTACTGACTTTGTTACTTGCCCCATACACATGTTTTACTTCACACATTTCATTGTGATGAACAATGGACCTGCTAGTTCCAGTTTGCACTGTTCTACTTTCTTCAAATTCATCCAAGAGTTCTGGTCTCGTGGCTTGCCTCATCCAACTTTCATAGGAGGGTCAGGGTCGGGTCCATTGCCCGCTTAAGGCTCCCATTTCCACCCCCATGAAGTCTAAATTCATGTTTTTTTCAGAGTTTTTTCAGTTTCTCATATTATCTATTCACATGCAAATCCCATGTTCTGAGGAGAGATCCACCCCGGCCCACCCTGGTCCACCCTGGTCCACCCTGGTCCACCCCGGTCCACCGGAACCTTTTGGGGTGGAGCGGGCGCCGAGTGGACCTGGGCACTGCCGGGACCAGATCTGGTATAAGATAAATAAGTAATGGGAAGAAGGGGAGGGTAAGAGGCAGAAATGATCTCTTAC